CCCTCTTCTTGTTCATACTATATCAAAGCTTTAAAAATAAATGTCGCTATAATTAGGAAGTTGAAAAGACAACAAATATAAAGATTAAAAAAAAAGTGAACTGATGTTTTTTTATTATTTATTTTCAAAAATTCAAAGAAAAATCTAGTCTTAAAATTTTGATTGAAAATTTTCAATATATAAGATTCGGTCTGTTCGATTAACACTTTTATTTAGCAATGGAAATTAACTGAGTTGACAAAGGGGAAAACGATGTGGTAAAAGAAATACTTGTGCAAAATAAAAGTTTATTAGTACTTGGTTTCAGGCTAATAGATATAATGTTATATATAAATATAAACGTGGACATTGAAATCAACACTCAGAGGCAACAGTCTGTTTCACGTTAAACCCAATGGTCGTAAGAAATTTTTCTGTTTTTCATATTTTTCTAAATACTGTTTTTTGATATATAAAATTATAAAAAATTCTATACACACACACACATACATACATACACACACGCACGCATTATATATATATATATATATAACCAAATATGTTAGCTCTATCTCTGATATTGAGCGCTTTCTAATAAGTACCGCGCATATAATATATAAATAATTATATATATATATTTATTTATATTTATATTTATATACACACACACACACACACACACACACACACACACACACACACACACACACATATATATATATATATATATATATATATATATGATGGTACACATGATGGTTTTCCACCTGAAGAAACGTTAAAAATTAACGTTGAAACAAGATGTACAGTTTGGTAGTGGGTATGTATATGTTCTAATGTAACAGTGTATAAAGAAATAAATGTTTATTGCTCTACTTTTGTATTGAACCCTGTTTTAAATTAATGTTTCGAACGCTGAAATTTTACTCTTCGTTCTTTTACATTTGGATATGCATATATATATATATATATATATATATATATATATATATATATATATATATATATATATATATATGAATTGGCATCAAATACAGATCGGAATCATATGAAATGATATGATAAAGAACAAATAGGAAACGTTTATAAATTTAGTATATTTCACTTTTATTAAAGCTTCAATCAATCTCATTTTCTGGTGAAGCTTTAAATATGTGAAATATGTTAGATTTATAAAATTTTTCTATTTGTTCTTTATTCTGTCATATTGTAAGAGTGTTAGATACAAAAATTGCAGTTTTTTCCATAGTTTATTGGTGGATAGGCATTTAGGCAAGTATGTTTTTCGTCATAAAATGTTCGATATCAAAAAGGTAAGGATAGAATATTAAAAGAATTAATGTGGAGAAACGTGTCACTTAACTGAATCCTGTCATATCTGAAATAACACCATTCAGTTAAGTGACATTTTTCTCCAAATTAATTATATATATATTTAATTATATTAATTATATATATATATTTAATTATATTAATTATATATATATATATATATATATTTTAATTATATTATTATATTAATTATATATATATTTAATTATATTAATTATATATATATATATATATATATATATATATATATATATATATAATCATGCATATTTCGTTAAATATAACGGATATGGTATGTTTTATGAGATTTTAATCATTTCTTCATATGTCTTTACAATTATTCCTTTTCGCGGACTAAGTATGTATAGAAATTGTTCATATTGCGTATTGTCCTGAGCGCTTTCGACTTATACTTCAACTATTTTTTAATGCGAGAAGTTAATTTTTGAAGTAACGACGATTGTTTGGATATTTTTGCTTTCTTTCCTATACTGTTTTGTATAGCTAAAGAATTAGCCAAAAGTTTCTCGGACAACACAATCTTGGGAAATTTATTGGCACATTTATTCCTCAAAGAGTCAAACTATTATGACACAAGAAAAATGGAATAAAATATTTATGTCCGTTTTATTCAATGAAGCAAGTATACAAGAATGATTACAGCCACATATGTAATATATTGCGTCAAACGTAAATATATAGTGCACAATGCCGGAAGTACGGAGCACCCAGTGAGGATCGAACTCACTACCCAGTCGTAATTGCTCTAGCGAGATAAGCTTGCTAGCCATTACACCACTTCGAGGTGCCCAGCATAAATATATAGTGGATACTTGTATCTGAAATAGAGAGGGAGTCTATTTTCAAGTACGAGTGTCCACTATAATAACATTTGGATTAATAGAAATGTCGAATTAAAAAAAGATCTATTAATTCTTTATTATATTATATATATATATATATATATATATATATATATATATATATATATATATATATAATATATATATTATATATATATATATATATATAAAAAACAGTTTTTTAATTTTGAGCCGATGGTTAGGGTCGCATCGAGAAGTTTGTTGACCCTACATGTACATAAGAACTTTATTATGTAATATCTATAAGGTTTATATACATATCTTAAATGAAAATAGTTCTTTTATATTAAAATTGTATTATTATT